TGCTACTTAAGCATAAAAACATTCATATCATCATAAACACTTTTAAATTAACTGATGCCAGTATTTACTTCCAGCAGGAGTGTCTAAACTCTCTGTCTGCAATTTTAGTTACAAGCTGCACTTTTTGAACATTGATATGAAAATTGTGGCTGATACTGATAACCAATAATTATTTATATCTGAAAGCCGATAACCGATATAATTCTAAATCCAAATTTTGATATCATTTTTGAGAGCCTGATTACAGAAACAAAATCTGACCATTAAAATCCCAAGCTCACTATAATGTTCTCATGATAATGTCCTGTAGCCGATATGTCAGACTGTTGCACTGAACGTATGCTCCTTTCTAAAGTGATCCCAATCATATTTCAAGCAATTCAAAACCCTCATGTTGAACAGTGCGCATCTGAAGTGTCTCCGCTGGAGGAAATAATAATACATTATTCATCGGCTTTACGATATCAAACAGCACCTTCTTTGCCTGTTTTAAAATCGGTGCTTTAAAATTTGAACAAATTACAGTGGGTTAAAAGTGGAATTCAAATTGTTTGATATTGTTTTTGTACATTTTTTATATCTTGTTTATTTAGTTTTCATTATTTTAACTTTATGCACAGCACTTTGGTCAACCTACGCTTGTGTTAAAAGTGCTTAATAAATTAAGCGAATGAATGAATGAACATTAAAACCGAACATATACATGGGCCGATACCGATACGTTAGCCGATATCCCTAATTTCCCTGAAGCCGTGTTGTCTGACGGCCTCTCTCCGGTGTTTCAGGTGATGTATTCCTGCTGGTGTTCAGTCTGGACGACCGCAGCTCGTTCGAGGAGGTGTGTGCTCTTCACGCCGAGATCCAAGCGGCTAAGGCGGCGCTACACAAGCAGAAGGTGTGTGTGCCGACGGTGATCTGCGCCAACAAGCTGGACCTGGCGTCGGAGCGGCGTGCGGTGTCGCGGACGGAAGTGCTGCGCTGCCTCGGCTCCGGCTGCGCTCTGGTCGAGACCTCGGCGAAGGACGCGGTGAACTTGGAGCAGGTGTTCGAGGCGCTGGCGCGGCGCGGGGGACTCCCGCTGGAGACCGGACCCTCGCAGCACCGGAAAGTGTCCATCCGCTCGTACCAGGCGCTGCGGGCGGCGAGCGCGACGTGTGACGCCCCGTGCGGAGCCGTATATCCGCTCGCGCGCAGGCCGAGCTTCGGCACTGACCTCCGGCTGGTGCTCGGGCCCAAAGCAAACAGAAAACAGGGCAGAGCGCTGGACAAGTGTCCGATTCAGTGAAACTGAGAGACACAGAACTGTCAAAACAAACAGCACTGACAATACTCAACGTTTCCACTGATATATGCGTGTTTGCCAGACAAGCGGGGGTCTTTAAACTTTTTTTTTTTTTTTTTTTGGTGCATATGGATGAATCACAACCCTGTTTACATATTATATTATATTGCATTTCAATCCTGGCCTAGTAAATCCCTCTGGTGCTCTTCACGTGTCGGTGAAATATGACCATTCAATGAAATACTGTATTTTAGTTTGATATTGTTTTTATTTAATATTTTGTATTTTTAGGGGATTTTATGGTACAGATTTATATTTACGCTGTATTTATAATCCATTTATTCACTTTTTGAGCATACACTCTGAAAAATGCTGGGTTGTTTCAACCCAATTTTGGGTCAAATATGGACAAACCCAGCTGTTGGGTTAAATTTTTAATTTGCATTTTTAATCCAAAGTTTGGGTTTGTCCATGTTTGACCCAAAATTGGGTGTTGAAACAACCCAGCATTTTTTAGAGTGTAGACCTCAAAAATTTAATTTCCAACTTAAACTGTGGTGAATCTTGAATGCTTTAGAGCGACAGACTGAAGTTTAATCTCTCTTCAAAGACGACACTTGGCAGATTGTTGCTGAAGTGAAAAAAAAGTTTTAAAAAGTAAACTTACAAAAGGTACAGAATTTGACTTTATTGTTATGAAAAATGTATTTAAATATACTATTTTAAATTTTTATATGAAATATATATTTTCAAAAACATGTTTTACTCTAAAACTGTGATGAAATCATAAATCTAAACAAGTTTGAGGCTGATATCTCAGTAAATGAGCTTTCAGTGAGAGTGTGTCCGGCCGCAGTACCGAACGCCTCCACTAGAGGAAACTCGCCTCATTCATTTCCAATGCGCTCATTTCTGACCGCGAGGAGCACAAGTGTGACTATTTCTTTCAGGACCATTAAACCTGTTTGAATCATGTCCACGATCATGTTCACACAGCAAGTGCCAAACCCTTTAGCAAGTTTCGAACCATTCCAATGAAAAAAACATTCTTAAAAAAAGAGAAATGTAAAAGTTTCCGGTCATAACTGAAGAGCACCAGAGGGTAAAACGCACATTATGAATGTATTTAAAAATAGACAAAACTATACATTTATTTTACTTAATGAATGAGGGAGGGACAATGAAACATTTATCTGAACTTTAGCTTCTTTAATGTTA